ATCGGCGAGCGGGCACGATGCCGCGAAGTCAATCTCGGGTGTTTGAGGATGGGGGGGAGGACGAGAATCTGAAGGCGCAGAAGAAGTGCTGCGTGTACAAGTACATCCGAGTGGGACAGAGTCTCGGCGAGAGATTCCGCGGCAATCGCGTGTTGAAGTGCGTTTTCTGCGGCCACGAGTTCTAGGGCAACCAGTTCGTGGCAGCGCGCCATTTCCGCCAGGGCAAGGGATGTCCGGAAGTGACAGACGAGGCACTTGTCGACATTCACTATGACAGTGAGTACAAGATGTCCGAGAAGTTCCTAGAGCGGATACAGCGATTTGAGGAACTTCACGTTGCGGCGCCTGCGGTGGATCCGCAACGGGACGAGGGGGGGGAGGGAGAGATGAGGGACGCGGGGGAGCAGATCAATGTGGACGACGACGACGAGGAGGTTGCACGGGCGGGGTCGTTAAGGAGGGAGCGAGGGAAGGGCGTTGTCAGCGAGCCGGGGGGGCAGCAGGGCCAGTACTTTGCGTCGGCGCACGTGTCAGTTCGTGCACGGGCAGGTGCGGATACGCCTGAGGCAAGTGTGTCTGCGGGGAAGAGGAAGGAGAGAGAGGAGGGGGACAGACCGACGGCAGCAGCCGCAACACAGAAGAGGATGAGACAGAACACGATCATGGAGTCGTTCACTTCAAAGTGGCAGATGGAGTTCAAGAAGAAGTGGCTGCGGTTTGTGTACATTCAGCGCCTGCCGTTCAACGTCTTCCGGAGCGAGCCATGGTTGGACGTCGTCCGACACTTCAGGGACTTGCCGGGGCCAGTGAAGGTGTTGTGGCCTTCAGAGAATGAGATCGCGGACATAGAGACCATTGTCCACACGGCGGACGATGTGGGAGCTGATCTCGCGGAGGTCAGGGCTCCTTTCTATGTCACGGGGGCCACCATTATGTCAGACGGAAGGAATTCACGTGATGCTAGACCCATCGTTAACTTCCTTGCCGGCGGGTCGCGTGGGGTGATGCTCGTCCGGACGATGAACAGGGAGGGTGAGCGGGATCGGGAGCCTGATGTGTTGGCGCAGTGGATCAAGGTGTTCGATGACTTCCCCCCTAAGTGGGTGAACGCCATCTCCACCGACTCCGCCTCGGCGTACGTCGCCGCGGCGAACATGCTCCAGGGGCCCCAGCAGAGGCTGGAGCATCGACGGATCACGTGGCTCCCATGCTCAGTGCATGTCTGCAACAAGATGTTGTCAGACATTGGCTGTTCGGGCCCGTGGTCCAAGGATATCATCGTGAGGGGGAGAGCGGTGGTGCGCTTCATTAAGGAGCACGACGCCGCTCTCCATATCTTCCGGGGGGAGAGCAGTCAGATGGGCCTCATCTATCCTTGCAAGACACGTTTCGCATCCGTGTTCGTGATGGTGGAGCGTTTGCTGGCAGTGAGGTCAGCTTTGGAGAGGACGGTGGATGGCGATAGTTGGGGTATGGTCCCTTGGGACCATTCAGTTCGTCATTTGGCTAGGTGGGTCAGGTGGCAGGTGCGACATGGCAGTTGGTGGGATTCCATGGGCATCTTGCTCCGTATCATGGAGCCTGTGTACGACCTGCTGCGCAGGTTGGACCGCGGAGGGCTGCACATGTCGCGGGTGGTTGAGTGGACGCACGATCTGGCCCGCCAGGTGGCAGAAGAGGTTTGTGCACTTCCGCCTGATCTTGCACACTACATTGTGCAGAGGGTGCAGGCTCGATGCGCTCACATGCTGGAGCCGGCGCACGCTGCTGCTCACCTCCTCTGTCCCAGCCGGCGGGACTTGCGGTACTTCGAGGGCGTGGTCAGCGACTACGATGCGAGCTTGGTGAGGGAGGCGGAAACTTACATCTTGTCGCAGACAGGGTTCAGTGTGGCGAGCCGCGACTACGAGACCGCATGTGCACAGTTGCGCGACTTCCACACACGGAGGGGGACGATTGCTTGGGGGGGGAGAGACGGAGACAGAGATGCACAGAGGTGCAGGGGCGATGCGGAGATGTACGAGTCCGAATGTTGGTGGTCGAGGTATGGGCAGTGCGCCCCGCAGTTGCAGGTTATCACTCTTTGTGTGATGTACATGTGGACGTGCTCCTCTCCTGCGGAGAGGAATTGGGCCGTCCACGAGGGTGTACAGACGAAGACGCGTAACCGGCTTGAGTTCGAGAAGGTCGCGAAGTTGGTTGAGATCTCAGCCAACGTCCGCCTTCTATCTCATCAGCGAGCAGGTCGCGGGTTCGCGCTGCCGTGGACTCTAGATGAGTCGTTGTTGGACGTGGAGGGAGGTATCGGGATTCGCCCCTCGCGGAAGGGGACGGACGAGAGTAGGACGAGGGAGGAGGTCGAGGATCAGAGATGTTCATGGCTGCGAGACCCATGTGGGTCCAGAGCTCCTCCGGGTGATGTGGGCGATGTTTTCGAGACTCGAGCCGCCACATTGCACCCGTACCCTCGAGACGACAGTGATTCCGAGGGTCACGAGGACGAGGACGAGCCGGCGGGCCCCACAAGCACCACTCCTGCGGCGGATGAGCGTGATGAGTGGAGCGACCCAGAGGACGTCTGTAGACGGAGTGGCGGAGATGACCTTTTCATTCAGGTTGATTTGGAGGAGGAGTCTAAGGGTCGTCCTGGGAGCCCTTTAGAGCGTCCGAGGCCTACGTCCACCGTTTCGCTTCCCGCTGAGCGGGAGACAGATCCTGGGTCTGCACCTTCGAGGGGGGCAGAGTCGGGGATTGGCCATCGTCCTCTGGGTCGCTCTGGCACGACATCCTCCACCGCTCTTCCCACTTCGACGGAGCAGGTTCATCGACAGCCAGCCGTTGCAGATCGATTGCAGAGATTGGTGAGGGGCCCGAGACAGCGATTGGAGGACAGATTGGAGGGCGGTCCTGTGCCGGTGCAGGGTGACGACGGAGACAGACACGGGTTGGTTGGTGGATATGGTGGTGCGCTGGGCGGAGGTGGAGGCGGTGCCGAGGCTGATGCGGCGGTTGAGGGGATACCGATGGACGGCGGAGGCGGTTTCAGTGAGTTTGGCGATATGGGTATGCCCCCGGGAGATAGTGTGGGTCTGGCCCTAGGAGAGAGCGAGTCCCGTGGGGACATCAGTGTGGGTATGCAGGACTTATTGGGACAGATCAGCTTTGCGGACCCGAGTAGTTTCTCCCCTGCCATGCGCGCAGAGGTGATGTTGGGGGCAGAGGGGGATGAGGACCGGACACCCCCTGGCGAGACATCTGCAGAGAGGCTGGATAAGCTTGATAGTCGTCGAGCGTGCCTCATGGCACAGAGGGACCCCAGGACGCAGGAGCTCGCCCGTCTTGCGGCTGAGGACCGACAGAGGCAGCTGGGGACATTTACGCCGGCGTCTGTTGACACACGGCCAGCTGCCCACACGGATACTTCGGTAGAGGTTCACGACACGATGCAGCGGGAGGCAGCTTTGGCAGAGGTTTCGAGTACGGAAGTGGATGTCCAGCAGGGGACGCACGAGAGCGGGTTGGCACCGACAGAGGAGCCACGTTCGGAGTCGGCGCAACATCCTGCCGTGGAGCGGAGGCCAGAGGAGACATTGAAGGAGGTCATGGGCATGCCTCTGCCTGCGGGTTCAGTCGAGGGTGCCGTGCATATGTCCCCGGGTCTGGAGGACATACCGACGGGGCAGTCAGTGGGCGTTGATGATATTTGCCCATCGGCACAGGCGGAGGGGATAGCGCCGACCACCGGGGGGGACGGGGCCGTAGCGGGGACCGTTGGTGCTGGCGGGTCGGGGGTGCCGTTCGCGGCCGATTCGATGTCCACGTCTGGCGGGGGAGACCCCGCACAGGTGGACTGGCGTGACGCGGACGGACAGGAGATACCACAGACTTTGGTGGTTCGCACTGCTGTGGGGCCAGTGGTGCCACATCAGACACCGTTTTTGGAGGGTCTTAGGCGTCCTGCACATGGTGGTGGCCCAGTCGAGGAGCTACGTGTAGGCAGGGGCGCGTGCATACCCCCGGTCCCTACTTTTGCGCCGTCACGGACGAGGCCGGAGATAAGGCATGTGGCTACGCCTCGAGGCAGCCTCCCTTTTGGTTTTATGACCGCTGAGGAGTTGGAGGACCACGGCAGGAGGGATTTGACGGAGATCGACCAACGCGTTTTGAGGTCAGTCCCAGGGGAGGGGAAGCTGCCTCACGTGCAGGACTTATCTTGGGGGCCAGCCAGCCCCAGCTTACCTTCTGGGTGTTCCGTCGCAGCGCCATCTGGCGGGGCTGCAGGTGGCTTACCTTCTGGAGGTTCCGTCGCAGCGGCATCGGGCGGGGTCGTAGGGGACTTACCTTCTGGAGGTTCGGTCGCAGCGCCATCTGGAGGCGCCGCAGGCCCTTCGTCACCCTTGAGCGCAACTCCGAGGGAGGGCGGCAGCCTCACCCCGAGGTCAGTTGCCCGTAGACGGAGAGACACTACCCAGTGTGCGCGGGAGTTGCTGGACACCATGTTGTTCAGTCGCACAGATCGACCATGGAGTGAGACGAGACGGGTGACGACGGCGAGTGCCGGTAGTCAGCCAGGTTTGATAGGGGTTTCCACGAGCGCTAGACGTCCAGATGTTGTAGCTGCAGGGTTTGGGGGTAGAGGGGGTGGCGGCGGTGGTAGTGGTGGTGACTGTGACGATAGAAGTGAGGGTGCAGGCGGTGCCACGACGAGCGCAGTGGATCCGCCGCGGATGTATGGTTTGAGAGAGGCGTCGATTATTTTGGAGGAGCCTGATGTTGTTACACGACTGAGGCAGACCCGACACGTGCCCTTAGATCGACGCCAGGAGGGGGAGACTTCAGGGACTGACGGTCTGCCTATGGCACGTGAGGCACGCCGACGTGATGACCTAGCAGCAGCAGCCATCAGGACGGTGAGAGGCAGGAGAGTCATTATGGACGACGATCCCGACGAGCTTCCCGTCACTCCCGAGCCTCCCGCTGGCGGACGTGGCGGCCAGCGTCAGAGAGATCGAGAAGGCGGCAGGGGTCGGTCCCACGGAGGAGTTTCTCATCGGTCCCAGCGAGATCCGCGTGCGCACGACGATCATTGACGGATTATGGACTTGCATTTTCGTAACTTTCTCAGTGTACTTTAGTTCGTTGTTATCCATGACAGACGTAGTGTCTCGTGAGGTTGTATTACAGTCCACTTTGCAGTGGGTGCTTTTCTGCGCAGACGTAGTGTTTCATGATGTTGTATTATAGTGTATTTTGCAGTAGGCACTTGTCTCCAGTTTGCTACTTCGAAGATTGTAGCTTTCCAGTGTATTTTAGCGTGCTTTTTCGTCGGCATTTTCGGGTTGGTACTTCTTCCCACAGACTGGTGGGGCTTCGACACGATGCGTCGGATTTTTGCTATTATCCATGCTATATTGGTTTGCGTTTTGCTTCGATCATTACATCTTGGCATTTGCGATGTTTCTGTTTTCAGACGACGAGTGTTTTGTGTGCTTCCAGGCCCCTCATAACCCAAAACCTCCCGTACCCCCCCCCCTGCCCCCCCGCCCCCACCCCT